TGAGCAGAAATAAGGGTTTCTTCAATACTATAGAAAGGACTCCAAAAGCAATATTTGAAGATGTTCTTGACCAAACACTTGACCAAGAGTCTTTCAATACATTTATTTCAATTCATTTTAATTCCATAGCTTGTTTATCTTAAGAATCAGGTAAAGATGAAAGGATCGCATCAATTTTAGTTTCACCATCAATATCTGCACCCAAAGTTTCCATTATGTTAATGAAAGATATCATTTGCAGGACATTTTCTCGTACTGGAGTGCCTTCCACCATTTTGGTGGACATCAAACCTTTCATGGTAGTTTGACGTGCACTTTTTCTCTGTTCTCCAAACATTTTTTTTCTCCAAATTAATCATTATGTCTTTTGCAGTAGGAACACCCTCATGCTGCTTTTGCAACACATTGATCATTGCGGCCAATATGTAGCACTTTGCAACATCATCAACCTCATGCCACTTCTTAGTAGGGGATTTCAACGAAGTGGCTACCGGCAATGAGAAACAATGGGGTGTTCTTGGGCAAAGAATCTGCAAAGTTTGCTGATCTGAACTGACCGCTCGAGCGAACATTTCACCGCTCGAGCAGTGAACGCAATCTCTCAAAAGTTTTGCAGGTGTACAGTGAAGATACTAAAAGCCTCACCTCTTCGCTCGAGCGACCACTTGACCGCTCGAGCGGTCATCCTGGACAGCTAGTTACACAGCTTAGCTCCTAAGGCACTCTCAGTACATCAATCTCATTTCCATATGTAACCATTTAAGTAAATACTTTCATTTAGCCACTTACATTTATATTTCATTTACTTAATTTTAGAATGTAATAAGGAAATAGTCCCATTTGGATTTAAAGAAAAATACAAAAACATCAAAATCCAATTAAATTAAAAAGTGGCTCCCCTTGTTTTAGTACAAAAAAAAAAAAATTTTGACTGAAATTTCTAAGTTTGACGTTATAGTAAAAGGGTTAATACTTCATAGAAAAATTTCATAAAATCAATTTAGACTATTTAAAATATAAGGATCAATTACCACTAAAAACTATTTTCAAAATCGTAAGTTTTGAAAAACCCAATTGTCACACTTAGAAAATTTTCAAGTCAAGGCAAAGAATTCACAACTAACTACATAAATAAGACTTAACAACAGCCATCAATTGCACTCCGGTTTGAACTACCCAATATTTCACAACTACAAGTTTGAAACATTGATCAAGAGGATTATTTTGTTCATCGTATAGGCACGAGTCATCTTAAGTAGCACGAGCGTTTCCTCTATACTATGGTAGCAACACGACCTGTCTCTCGTAGCATGACTCATCTTATACTTTGAACACGAACACAAAGAAAACTAATGTATGAAAAGCATTAAACAATCACAAAGAGTAAAACACTTGAAGATATGAAAAACAAAATTATTATAAACTTCTAAAACATCCATACATTCATTCAAACCGTTTCACAATTGTGGAGAAGTGGTTTGGAAATACTCTTCTGATCCTGGGGGACGCTCGTGATCCTCAGCTAGCCACCTGAAAAAGAATCAACACTCCGGTCGGGGGTGCCGGAATTAGTACTCCGATGGACAAGTCAGTCTCTACTCTCTGAATTACTTGTATTTTAAGTAAAGTGTAATAGTTCTCACATACCTCTTCCTGGCTGATATTCTTCCATTTATATCTTTTTTTTCTTGGGCCTCGGGATCTGGTCCACTTTCAATTCACTATTCGGCTTCAACTGTAAAAAATAGTTCTTCACTTGGCCCCTTGCTTGACCAGCTATTGGGCCGAATAAGATAAGGTTCGAGCGTGTGAGATGGCGTCAAATGCTATATATTTCGACCCAGAGTTCGACTATTCGGCATATCTGCGACTCCCAATATTCGGCCCTCACAATTGCCTCCCAAGCACTCCACTAACGATAGTTGGCTGGAGTGTTTGGTTTCGAATTCGAAAAGTCAGAGCCGAAATTCGGCGGCTGACCTCATTCCAACGCAAATGTCTGAGCACATGCTTCTCGATTATCACTTCAACTTCCCGCCTCTTCGTACACTTCTATTTATTGTGATTTAAAATCTGGATATCTTTTCAAATACATATACACTTTTAGACGCTCGTCACAGGACTGCCTTCCGAATTACCTCTGCAACTTCCTTTTCTTCACTATCCTCTTTGTCTCTTGTAAGTTTTCTCCCCCTCTGCCCTGAATCTTCTCTCTTGCTTTGTTTTTGGCTTAGCACGATCTTATAGACTAAAAGAAATGGCAAAACATTTAAAAGATCTCCTTTCCTCGGATCGAATCTTTGGCTTCCGACGTCATTTCTCCATTCCTGATGACGTCCACCTGTCACTTGTGACAGACGGTACCCTCGATATGGAGAGGGCTGATGAAACCACGATTGTCTTCCCTCTCCTGTCGATCGCCGAGGGTGGAGTCTATTTTCCCCTCCACCCATTCCTTAGGAATATGTTTTGCCATTGGGGTTTAATCCCTTCCCAACCCAATGTTAACTTTTTTAGAATCGTAATTGGGATTATCGCACTAAATCGTCACCTTAGGATTAACCTCGGCATTCCTGCTATTTGGCATTGTTATGCCTTGGCCAAGTCTTCTGGACGGCAAGGGCGCTACTTTCTCAGGGGCAAGTACACCGACCATCACTTGGTTACTATGCTTGCCAACTCTGGCAAGCGAGTTGACGATGTTATGGTTGTGGTTCGTGGAAACTGGAAATTTGGCGAGGGCGAAGATCGCCAAGATCCAGTGCCCAGGCGAAGGGGCGAACCAGATGGCCGTTTAACTCCCCAAGAATTTTTACTAAATATTTTCTATTCAAATTCCATGTATTTACTATTTTAATTGTGCAGGAAACAACTTGAAGAAAGTTCTAGTTTCGGCCGACGATGCCATACTTGCATAGATCAGAGCGGTACTCCAGTTCGTTAGCTGTCCGAATCTCCAGAAACAAGGGAGGGCGGCTTATATTCTTCTGCGATATGAGCCAACCTATACAACGTTTTCGGCGACAAATTTCACTTTTCCCGACTAAAAAGTTTAGTCGCCCGTGTTGTCGCCAATAAATCGTCGCGGATGCCTTTGGCGACTAAAATACTGTTAGTCGCCAATATATATGTCTTCAGCGACTAAAGATTTCGTCGCCAATAGTCATTTTTTATTTTATTATTTATACCTTTGGCGACCATTCACTTTAGTCGCTGAAAGTGTTTTCAGGAAAAAAATTTTTTTGCCTCCGCTGCTAGCAGGTTTCGAACTTGCGCCAACCCACGCCAAACCCTTTGGCACAACACTCCCTCCACTCTGCCACTATATCATCATATGATCATATATGCAATATATATTATTTATATACTATATTAACCGCAATTAATACAAAATAATATTTATAAATATAATTTTTTTAATTCAATATAATTTTTGTAAAAAAATAAATTATTTGCTAAAAAAAAAAGTATGCGACTTTTGGCGACTAAAACCATTTTTTAGTCGCTAATTGTATTATTTTGGGCTACTAATTACTTATTTGTCGCTAAAAAACAAGTTCTCAATTAAAAATCAGGACTTTTGGCGACTATCCAGAAATTTCGTCGCCAAAACCACTACTTTGGGCGACTAAAATGGATTTTCGTCGGCAAAACCCCCACTTTCAGCGACTAAATTGTTTTTAGTCGCCAAAACTGCTATAATCGGCGACTAAACCTGTTTTTTGTCGCCAAAACCGTAACTTTTCGCTACTAAAGTATTTTAGTCGCCAAAAACTGTGACTTTTGGCTACGAAACAAAGTTTAGTCGCTAAAAACCATATATTCGGCGACTAAACTTCATTTTAGTCGCTAAAACCCTGCTTTTCGGCGACTATACTCTTTTAGTCGCTAAAACCTTGCTTTTCGGCGACTAATTTCATTTTAGTCGCCATTTGATGCACTTTCAGCGACGAATTTTTTTTTTTTAGTCGCCGTTTGTGTGTTTTTGTTGTAGTGGATTGAAATCCAAAGAGGATTATGAGTCTCCAAAAAAAGGAATCCCAAGCATTTTTGTTTTCTATATCTCTTCACACTTCATTTTGTTGGCCCCATCACAATGATAATTTAAATTGTTCATTCTTTAAACATAATTTCATTGAATACCGATAAATAAATGAACAAATCACATTTTGTATTATAAAAATATGATTGATGTTCAAGCTCATAGTTGCAGTTCATTTTTAAAAATAAAATATAATTTGTTCATGTGTTTAGTAATGTTTGATAAAATTAATTTTTTGCGCAGACAATCTTTGCTACAATATTTAATAAATGAACGATTCAAATCATTATTGTGGGGCCATCCAGAACTTACAATATAAAGTATGAAAATATATGGAGGGTAGTAGTGTGGAAGGAAGCCATTTCTATAAATGAAGGGGAAACATCATTTCAGTATGGATCCGTTTGTTTTCCTCCATCACACTTTAAAGTGGACTATAGATGATGAACAATGACCCACCCTCATATTTGTTTTGGTTTTAGATCTCTAGATTCGTAATTCCTTTATTGGTTAAATTCATGAGATGGTCACACAAAAAGTATAAAATTAATGAAGAGTGCGTTTTGTTTACACTGTGGGAACAAATCCCCATGTGGGGTGACCCATTTGTGTGAAATAAATTTGTAAGTTTTTATTCATAAATTTGGTATGTCTTTATTATGAGGTGGTTTGGGTACATAGTAAAATGTTAATTTTTTAATTTTTTAATTTTTTAGTTAAAAAAGTTACAAAAAATAAATTTTTTTAAACAAAAAAATAAAAAAATTAACTTTTTTACCATCTTCTCAAAATACCACTTTATGAATTTATCTCACACCATTCAAAAAAAGTTGCCTCATGTTTTTAATAGCTTTTTCTTTTTATATTTTGCCGCGTCCAAAACAGTAATAAGGTCAAAATTCTTGTAACAAAAACATAAAATTTCAATAAATTACTTCGATTGTTCCTATAATTTTTCTTTTTATGTTTTCCTGATGTTTGAACCAATCAGATTGGAAAAGGTAGATATGCGAAGCGTAAGAAGTATGGCGAAGATCATAGGAACAGTCTTGTGTGTAAGTGGAGCTGTGTCCATGGCATTTCTGAGAGGACCAAAGCTACTAAACACACAATTCCTACCATCAAAGTCTCTTTTCGCCTCAGAAGGAGGTGATGATTGGTTGCTGGGTTGTCTATTTCTCTTTGCTGGCTGCTGCTGCTGGTCAGTTTGGCTCATTTTGCAGGTACTCTACTCTCAAAATGCTCTTTAATTTCATATATTTACACTGCTGAATTTCTTATTTTATTTTTTCCGGAGTACCACGTGTCTATACTCCTTATCTAATCATCATTCAATGTCTCTCTTCATATTCCCCAATCTCCCAAAACAATACCCCACCTATCCACATTTTTCACTAGTCACAATACTATGGAATAACACATGTTTATATTTTAAAATTACTAAATAATTATCCGTTGGCTACATGTCAGAAATTTTAATTTTGCCACAGCATGACACCGGTAAATGGGGAAAATGTTTGGTAGCTCAAAATTTTGTGGCTCAAATGGCTCAAACCTGTCAAAACGACGTCGTTTTACACTCATTTGCACTCAAAACGACATCGTTTTGAGTGACTTGAGCCATTTGAGTCACAAAATTTTGAGCTACCTAGCATTGTTGTTTTGTGACATAAAAGTTTCACTAGCTAATTTTTTGCGATAGCAAATTCTAGTTTTAGCCACAGCAAAATGTTGATAGGATTATTTTTTTGTCGCAAAAAAATTCATCGCTTTCTTTGATTTAGAGTTTTCAAAAATTATTTTTATGTTTTGAATTCGTATTTTTTATTTTTTAGGGAATATTTTTCATATTTAACTAATTTTTTATTTTTTAAATTCACTTAATCTAAATACATATAAAAGTACAAACTTTTTAAAAAAGAAAGTTCACTAAATACAAAAAATCTGTATAAAAAACAAAATAGTACATTTTTTTAATGCTTTTTTGTATTTATCGATTTTTTTTTTTTTTAAGATTTCTTTACAATTATTTTACTTTTTAAGCAAATTTAGAAGTGCATCTAAAAATTTATATTTAAAAAAAATGACTAAAATATTTTTTAAAAAATCACTACAAATAACAAAATACGAGAATAAAAAAACTCAAAATTTTAAAAATTTCTTTGAGATTGCAAACAACATCACAAAAGTCGCTACAAATAATTTTTTGCATCTCAAATAATGAGCTTATCGTGGCGACATTACACACCGCCGCAAATAATTTGACATAAAAATGTGTTTTCTTCTCTTTGTTTTTTTCTTAGTCTAGTAGTGATAATTGTGATCATAATAAAAGAATTCAACAATTTCCAACAGGTCCCACTATCAAGATGGTATCCAGACCACTTAGCTTTAACGGCATGGATGTGTTTCATAGCAATGTTACAATCAGCAACAGTTGCCTTGTTCTTTGACCGAGACCTTCAAGCTTGGAATTTACAGTCAAATCTTCAACTTTCATGTTGTTTCTTTACAGTAAGTAGTTGTTCTATCTATATATGAGTTCTTTTCAAATTATCAATTCATTTATCAATTTAAAGATCCAATTGTACACACAAATAGAAGTTACAAATACTTACTTAGTCTATGTATGAGTTTTTTCCAAACTATAATAAATAAATAAATAAAAAGTGAATGGAGGAGGGGCAAGAGGAAAGACAGTGCACGAGACTCTTAACACTATGGAGTCTGAAAGGGGTTAGAGACGTACGCAATCTTTCCCTCACATGTGGAGAGACTATTTTTTTGTTTCAAGCCCATGACTACTAGACAACATTAAATAGAAGTATCGGTGTGAGTCATGAAAATATCGAGCAATACATATCGGGAATCAGATGTTGTGGTCATAAATTTTTTAAGAACATCAATAGCAAAAAAAAATATAAATAAATAAAAATAAAATTGTATAATGGTTGAATTGGTGTATTACCTGTGAATCAACTAGAAACTTGTACATACCAGAAACCACTTAATATACGTATTTTTCATTCCCACCAATATACCAAGGTGTATTAGTATCGAAATTCCAATGATTAAAATCACATGCCCAGTTCACAATGAAGCAATCTTATTACTGTGACAGCCTTTTTAAAAAAATTATTCAATAGTTTATTCAATTATTAGACTAACAAATTGAAGTTACAAAAACAGGGAATATCATCAGCAATCTCCTTCTTTGGCCAAGCCTGGTGCATTTCACATAGAGGTCCACTCTTCTCTGCAATGTTCAACCCTCTATCCACAGTTATAGTCACTATCTTTGCTTCTATATTTCTACATGAAGAGATCTATAGTGGAAGGTAATAATACTATCTCAATGTCTTCTATGATTATTTTTGTAGGTTCATTACAACAACACCCATTTAATTATTAAGCAATATTACTTTACACTCATGATCTATGAACTTGTACATATTGAACCTTCTCAACTGTGAAAAACATATAAATACATTCCTCTTAGATGTGGTCTGGAGGGGTAAAAGTGTCATAAATGAGGAAGGACAAAGTGATATTAGCTAATAATTGAGGGGCATTGGTGTAATTAATCTTATTTTTTTCTAACGAAAGTTACAAAATTGATTTTGGTTCTATTAATATAGCTTGGTAGGAGCTGTTGCTGTGGTTATTGGTTTGTATACTGTGCTATGGGGCAAAGCCAAAGATCTTGAAGAATTCCACGTGGAAGCAGATCCAAAGCCACAAAATGATCAAACAACCGTGAAAATCATTGTGGATCAAATTGATTTGGAGGAACCACTTTTGTCTGATAAAATCAACAGAAGTTGATGGAAAATCAGATGGATCAATAAAATGTTTACAATTTCACTCAAAGGTGAAATGCGGCAGATCAAGATTTCAGATTTTGTTTTTGTTTTTGTTTCCTTTTATTGTTTTGAGTTAGGAACAAAACAAGATCTCCCTGGCAGAAATTGTACTTTGTTTGGCGCGACCATAATTTTTTATCGCCATGTATTTCTCAAGGTTTTTTTTTTTTTTTTTAATTAACTTATTTTTTGACATAATATGATCAAAGTTAATTTGACTCACTACTAAAATCACGGGTTCCTCTGTCAATTGGCCAATTTCATACATTTGCCACACAAATCAGAGATAAGATTCTGTTTCCAAGCTTTACTGAAATAAAGACAGTTATAATTTTCAGAATTTCAAATTTCAGTTTGTTAATACAGAGAGGAAACCAAAGATGTAAAGGAAATGGGCTAGGGTTAAAACACTTATGTTGTGTTTGGTTGAGAGATTTGAGAAAGAATTTGGAAAGGAAAATGAAAAAGGTAGGTGAAATATAAATAAAATATACCTACATTTTACCGAGTTTCACACGCTTTTTTCCTTTCTCTTTCCAAATCCCCCAACCAAACACAGCGTTAAGGCTGAAAACTATTCAACAACGTTATTCGGAGATCAGTAACCAAAGAAACCTTGATAAGATTATGTATCAGTATTTGGAGATCAAAAAACCGATACGAGGTGTTGGCTGATATTTAAAACCTTGACTAGAAGTATGAACGAAACAAAACTATGACCAAGCAACTCAAAAAATGTACTCTGCTTAGTGCATTATGAGCCATGTGACAATAGAAAGGACTAAAGGAAACCAGCTAAGCTGCCTAAAGATGATTCCATGCTCTGAAATCATTGAATTCAGAAACTTCCAAGAGCCTCCCAAATAGAGCTTACTAGCTGATCTTATAAACATTTAACAATAATAAACAATTGTTTGGGCAAGAAAGAGTATGTTACTAATTCATTACAGGTCTTATTTTTTATTTATGAACTGTCAAATGATACAAGTTGTGTAGCAATCAAAACGTCCACTAAATGACGTATTAACAACAATAAAACAGAACATAACCAAATACGATCAAGTTGTAATGGCAAAATACGGATAGTAGCTAAATCTGACGATGAGGAATGAGGAACATACGTACAGCTTTGTTATAATAACTTCAGGCTTTCGTTGTGCAGGTTAGTATTACATTAAGCTCACGAGCTTTAGTCCAAATGCATTAAAAAATCTAAAGCTTACGAATTTCGGTTTGTTAAGCATAGACCAAACCAAAGATGTGAAGGAAACAGGAAACTGAAGAAACAATAAAGCTATGGAAGTTACTTATGGTGAAACAGTTTATTAAAGAGTGATTCGGGAGATATTCCTATTTGTGAAAATTTTAGCACAACATCTAATCACTGGTGAAACATAAACAAGGGGTTTAACGGGTAAACTAATTGAATTTAACACTGTAAATCAAGTTAGGCAGGTAAAAATGGACACTACAATATCTGAAACTCTAGAGCAAATGTCAAGTGAAAAATAAAAATAAAACAAACAAACAAACTGCACTTCACAATGAACCAAACAAGAACAAATGTATCAACGAAAAAAAAAATTAAAAAAAAAAAGGTGAACACTTTTCGGATAGCAATACAATAGTATTCAACACCAACTCAAAGTTTCATTTGAAGGTGAGTAACAAACAAAATTTTCAATAGTATTGGCAAGGGATTGTTTCATTATATGTACTACTAAAATATTACAAAAGAAAATTATAAATAAAAAAATAAACAGTGTAATACACAAAGTAGTTCTAAGCATGCTTGACAGTTTGAGCAATAGATGAATAAGTCCCCACAATTCCAACTAAGACTGCCATAAATATTATTCCCACAATACCAACTAGCTCATACCCCAAGTTTCTATAGACCCCAAATATTTTTAAGTAAAAAAGGCATGGGAGCAAGAAGGAAACAGAAACAATGAGAAATGCTCCACTGAGGGACGTTACAGACTCGAAAGAGGGAAATAACACAGCCAAAATCACCGTGCTTATCAGTAAAACCAATCTGATTAGCATACCAATAGGCTTATTATGTTGATAGTTTGCTGGCAAGCAGTTTTCTATGGCAGTGGCAACTGGCGTTATGGTCAAAGAGTATTTGGCAATTGGGCCGGCCAATATGGTGTATATTGCTACTTTTGAGCTGAGCTTTTCTTGAGGCAAGTTCAATGTTACCTGAGACTGAGCAGTCTGACCATATATTAGATAACCCAATATGGCCATGGACACATACGTGATGGTGCAAATGACAAAACTTAGAAATAGGACCTGCAATCAGAAGCAATGAAGTGTAATAATTAGTCATATCTATGGCGGGTTCTAACATTAAGTTTGCTCGATACCTATACATATAAAAAAAAGTTCTAATATTTGATCTAGTTACAATAAAATTAACAACAGCAACACTATGAACCCATAAGAAATAGATGAAATGTGCATCTGAGACTTATTTTGGGTGTAGCCCACACCATACCAAATTTGAATATTGACTATAGTCTTCATTTTTGTGCACTTTTTATTGTTTGTAACTATTTCGAATCAACAACACGCAATAACAGTAGCAGCAGAATTACGTAGAGATATTTCGCTTAAAGGTGCATAAGGAGGAAACTTCCAGTAACTGTGACATCAAGTACCAAAATGAGTCTAACTAAGTTTCCAAACATACCTTGGAAAACTGGCTTTTCTTTCTCATTGAACTATATATAGTAGGGAACATGGCATGAGCACCATAGCAAAATGTATACAAACTAAGCGCAGTGGGTATTCCTTTCAAATTCACAAGGCTTCCTTTTCCATGAAATCCAACCCCTTTTGTCGTGCCAAGGTGCATAAGGAGGAAACTTCCAGTAACTGTGACATCAAGTACCAAAACAAGTCTAACTAAGTTTCCAAACATACCTTGGAAAACTGGCTTTTCTTTCTCATTGAACTATATATAGTAGGGAACATGGCATGAGCACCATAGCAAAATGTATACAAACTAAGCACAGTGGGTATTCCTTTCAAATTCACAAGGCTTCCTTTTCCATGAAATCCAACCCCTTTTGTCGTGCCAATGCAGAAAACACACACAATAATAATAAGAGAAGACATCACTCCCCCAAATGAAATATACGATAAAACACCCAAATCAGTAAGCCACATAGAGGGGAAGATCATAACCCCTGCAATAATAACAAATGAATGCTTCCCATCTAATTTGAGACCTCCAAACTTTAAGGCAAAGTTTGGGGCCAACTTGTGTAAATTGTCACCTTCTAGTATTAGAAGGCCTGTGGCCACAAGGTAGAGCTCTAAACAGATGAAAATTGAAGCTGTGATTCTTCCTTTTCTACCAAAGGCAATGGCAGCTATGTCAGGGTAGCTTGTGATTGATGGGTCTGAATCCATGCAACGTCGGATTAGAAGCGCAGTGAAGCATGCTGAAGCAGCAATTAAGAGGAGGAGGATTAAGCTTAACCGGCCTCCTGATGAGAGTGCATATGGGACTGATAGTATGCCAATACCTAATCAACCAAAACGATGAAAATGTTAGACAATATATTATGGAAAATGATTTACAAAATTGTTGTGTGTGTGTATGCGCGCATAAATTCCAATCCAGAATGACAATGCGACATAAGCATAACCAGAGTATATGGTACACACACACCTTTTAATTGACGTGTATCATCGAACTGGCAATGAAATTCAATAATAAATATTGTTTTTATAAAATGGACTATTCTTACAGTCGATACTAATATTTAAAGTATCACATTTGGTGTGAACACGTCATTATGAAGTTAAAGGGTTTTAAACCAAAATTGTCCATTTAAATTTTTTTCACATTCCAATAGTTTTCGCCTGTACTACTTGTGGAGACCAATATGGAGACTCAATTAACAATAATTACATCAATTTCGGTCATCCTCAAAGTTTCACTATACTGTAAATACATGCTCAAATGGTACGGACACAACCACTTCTAAAAAAACTTTTCGAATTTTAAAAACCACCCACTCACCAATTTTCCTCTATAAAAATCAGATAACAGAATTTTATATCTAGTTTGTATAAACCTTCTATACTCACAAACACAAGTTTCTTTCTTTTTATCTTTTTAACACAAAAATAAGAATTTTATTAGAAAGATAAAATAATACATTACAAGAAGGGGGAAATCTCTACCCAATAACAACATAGGCAAACTACAGCAGTAGTCCCTTTACTTTGGCCCTTGTGTTAGTTTGGTTGTTATAATTTTAATTGACTCGATTTTGACCTTGAATTTTTTCCCTTTGTTTTAGGTTGGTCTAATTGGTTCAATAATTAGCATTTTTTTTGCTGAAAAATGTGCATATGAGTTGCATGTGTCATACTTTTAAGAACAAAATTATAAACGTGGTCAACTACGTAAGTTAAACTCAACAAACTCAGTGATCATTTTCTGTAAAAAAAATTCTAACAGAATCATCAATTGAACCAAATTGACACAAAATCTAAAATTAAATATCAAAATTGAGCCAATTAAAAGTGTAATAACCACAATGACACTAAGAATAAAATGTAAGGACTACTAGTATAATTTGTCCAATGTTAAAATATCAACTCTGGGAATAGCAAACCTCAGATCAATTTCAATTGGTGTTCTCTCTTTATATTTTAGATAGAGTTCAATCTAGAAGCAAAAATGAAAGGAAAGGGAAAACTACCATATATGTTTAGCTCGGGCCCGTATGTTCTCGTCTTTCTTCTGGACAGCGGAGACATGAGTGTAATATAGGAAATAATAGACGGTAGAGACTGCGGTTACACTCGCTAGGAGACCTAGATAGGTTTAATCCTACCTTAACTAATAGTCAAGTTTAAAATAATTATGCGTACTTTCAATTGTTTACAACACGAGTTAGGGTGGATAGAGTGATTTGTGCTGATAAATTGGAATTAGTCCAATCCAAGTTCATGTCACCCCAAACACATGCCTAAAAGAATGGGTAGGGTTAAAACACTTATGTTGTGTTTGGTTGAGAGATTTTGGAGAAAGAATTTGGAAAGGAAAATGAAAAAGGTAGGTGAATGTAAATAAATATACCTACATTTACTGAGTTTCACACGTTTTTTCCTTTCTCTTTCAATCCCAAAAACACACATTAAAAGGGCTGAAAAACTATTCAGCAAACGTTATTCGGAGATCAGCTACAAGAAACCTTGATAAGATTACTGTATCAGTATTTGGAGATCAAAAACTGATACGATGTATTGGCTGATTTTAACAAACCTTGCAGCTAGACGTATGAAAGAAACAAAACTATGACAAGCAACTAAAAATGTACTCTGTTTTTAGTGCATTAGAGCATGTGACAATAGAAAGGACTGAAAGGAAACAGCTAAGCTGCCCTCAAGATGATTCATGCTCTGAAATCATTTGAATTCAGTAAAACTTCAAGAGCTCCAATAGAGCTTACTAGCTGATCTTATAAACATTTACAATAATAAACAATTGTTTTGGACCAAGAAAGAGTATGATACTAATTCATTACAGGTCTATTTTTATTTATGACTGTCAAATGATACAAGTTGTGTTAGCATCAAAACGGTCCACTAAATGACGTTATTAACAACAATAAACAACATAACCGGCCAACGCCAATACGATAAGTTGTAATGGCAAAATACGGATAGTAGCTAAATCTGACGACTGAAGGATGAGGAACATACGTACAGCTTGTTATAATAACATTCAGGCTTCGTTGTGCAGGTTAGTATTACTTAAGCTCACGAGCTTTAGATGCAATGCATTAAAAATCTAAAAGCTACGAAATTTCGGTTTGGCTAAGCATACGACCAAACCAAAGATGTGAAGGAAACCGGAAACTGAAAAACAATAAAGCTATGGCAAGTTACTTATGGTGAAACAAGTTTATTAAAAGAGTGATTCGGAGATATTTCTGTTTGTGAAATTTCAGCACATCTAATCACTGGTGAAACATAACAAGGGGTTTAACAACGGGTAAACTAATTGAATTTAACACTGTTAATCAAGTTAGGCAGGTAAAAATGGGCCTAAACAATATCTGAAATCAGAGCAAATTCAAGTGAAAAAAAATAATAAAAAAACAAACAAACAAACTGCATTCACAATGAACAACAAGAAACAAATGTATCGACAAAAAAAATTAAAAAAAAAAAAAGGTGAATCACTTTTTCGGAATAGCAAATACACAGTTTCAACACCACTCAAAAGTTTCATTTGAAGTTGAGTAACAAACAAGATTTTTCAATAGTATTGGCAAAGGGATTGTTTCATTATATGTACTACTAAAATATTACAAAAGAAAAATTATAAATAAAAAATAAATAGTGTAATACACAAGTGGGTTTCTAAGCATGCCTTGACATTTGAAGCAACAGATGAATAAGTTCCACCATTCCAATAAGACTGCCATAAATATTATTCCCACAATACCAACTAGTGCATCGCCATAGTTTCTATAGACCCAAATATTTTTCTAAGTAAAAAAAGGCATGGGAGCAAGAAGGAAACAGAAACAATGAGAAATGCTCCACTGAGGGACGTTACAGAACTCGAAAGAGGGAAATACACAGCAAAATCACCGTGCTTATCAGTAAAACAATCTGTTAGCATACCACTAGGCTTATTATGTTGATAGTTTGGTGGCAAGAGTTTTATGGCAAGTGGCAAATTGGCGTGTTATGGTAAAGAGTATTGGCAATTGGGCCGGCAATATGGTGTATATTGGCTACTTTTGAGCTGAGCTTTTTCTTGAGGAGTTCAATGTTAACTGAGACTGAAACGTCTGACCATATATTAGATAACCAATTGGCCATGGAACACAATACGATGATGTGCAAATGATAAAACTTAGAAATAGACCTGCAATCAGAAGCAATGAAGTGTAATAATTAGTCAATATTATGGCGGTTCTAACATTAATTGGCTCCATACTATACCTATAAAAAAAGTTTTAAATATTTGAATCTAGTTACAATAAAATTAACAAAGCAACACCTATGACCATAAGAATAGATAAGAAAATGAAATGTGCATCTGAGACTTATTTTGGGTGTAGCCCACACCATAAATTTGATATTGACATAGTCTTTCATTTTTGTGCACTTTTTATTTGTCTTGTAACATATTTCGAATCAAAACACCAATAACAGTAGCAGATATTACGTAGAGATATTTCGCTAAAAGGTGCATAAGGAGGAAACTTCCAGTAAACTGTGACTCAAGTTACCAAAAAATGAGTAACTAAGTTTCCAAACTACCTGGAAAACTGGCTTTTCTTCTCATTGGAACTATATAATAGTAGGGAAACATGGCATGAGCACCATAGCAAAATGTATACAACTAAGCGCAGTGGGTATTCCTTCAATTCACAAGGTTCTTGTTCATGAACATCCAACCCTTTTGTCGTGCATAACGCAGAAAACACACACAATAATAATAAGAGAACACATCACCCCCAATGAAATATCCGATAAAAACCCAATCAGTAAAGCATCATAACCCTGCAAATACTAACAAATGATGCTTCCATCTAAATTTTGAGACTCCAAATTTAAGGCAAAGTTTGGGGCCAACTTGTGTTTGTCACCTTAGTATTAGAAGGCCTGTGGCCACGAAGGTAGAGCTTCTAAACAGATGAAAATTGAAGCTGTGATTCTTCCTTTTCAACAAAGGCATGGCAGTATGTAGGGTAGCTTGTGATTGATGGGTCTGATCCATGCAACGTCGGATTAGAACGAGTGGAAAGCATGCCCGAAGCAGCACATTAAGAACGGAGGAGGAATTAAGCTTACAGGCTCCTGCATGAGACGTGCATTAATGGGACTGATAGATGCCAATACTAATCAACCTAAACGATGAAAATGTTAGACAATATATTAGCCCTGTTTGGGTAGAGCTTGTGGGAACAGTGCTTATAGCTTAATGCCTAAACCAGCTTATAGCTTATAACTTTCAGCTTGCTGATTTCGCAGCTTATTTTAAAGCATCTCCTGCCCACTCAACAGAAAAGCTGATTTCTGACTTCCACAAAGTATAGTCTATAAGCCTATAAGTTAAACCAAACAATAAAATGCTTAATTAAGCTGAAAAGCTAAAAATAGGCTGTAAATAATTTTCTCAAACAGGCACATTTATGGAATGATTTACAAAATTGTGTGTGTGTGTATGCGCGCATAATTCAATCCAGAATAAATGCGACATAAGCAAAAACAGAGTATATGTACACACACACCTTTTAATTGACGTGTTATCATCGAACTGGCAATGAAATTCAACAATAATATTGTTTATAAATGGACTATTCTTACATCCCGATGCTAATACTTTAAGTTCACATTTGGTGTGAAACGTCATTATGAAGTTATGGTGGAATGGTAGAAAATTTCTGGTAAAACTAGAATTTTTCTCAAGTTTGGTCTATTTTTTAGGTGGGCCCAGCTGTCGATTTACTCGGGTCAAAGTGGTAAACGCGTTCTATGCGCTTGTGTTCACGTGGTATATTTGGTTGCTCAAACCATTACGAGTGAATGGGAAATTGAAGCCAAAGTGTGCTCCATGGAAATGGAGTTTTGGTGGAAATTCCTTAAGGTTGTAATTGGCTTGCCACATTGATTTGGTGGGGAAGTTTTTGAAAGGGTTTATAAAGGTGTGGTGAGATACTTGGGTGTGCCCCAAGGGGTACCCAAGTGTTTTAGAGGAGAATTATGGGCAAAATGGGACTAGACCCATTGGACCCAAAATTCACCACACGCCGCGCCCGCGCCGCCGTACCGTGCGTCGTTGCGTGGCGGCTTGGGCTGGCCGTCGTGGTGTTGTGGTGGTTGGTGGCTCTACTTTTGCCAAATTTGATTATTTGTTATTAAAAAAAATCCAATTCATAATAATGTTGATTGTTATCAAATCTTCGTATTCACAGGAATAATCTGCATTAATCACCAAGGCCCTTCTCGATTTTACTTTTCTAAGAATTAGATGTCAAATCATTAGTGTGTTCAAACCCACAGTATAAGTTTAAACTAAATGCACTTACATTATATACCACCATTTGATGTATCTAATTTGTGCTGCATAATTCGCAATTCCTCTTCATGTGCATTATTTTATCTCATGAAGATATAAACACTAGTTCTTCAAATTGCTGCTGCTATTGTTTGTGTAGATCATTTCATCTGGGAGATAGAACGTCCAAATTCTGATAGCACCGTGAAGAGACGAATCTGTCTTAAGGACACAGT